TGTTTTGTAGAATATCACAGTAATAATAATTAATTTATTTAATTTGGTTTTTTTATTTTTTTCATTTGTGCAATATTGTCCAAATTTGGAAGAAATTTTTAGTACAAATTAAAATAAAAATTTATATTCTAAAATTGGTTTTTCTCCCTAAGTAACCTTGTTTATTAGAACAAGTATCTTCACATACAACTTTTTCTAATTGTGAATTTCAAAAAAACAAAAATTTTTGGATTTTTTTTGAATGCATGTTTTTCCGAGTTATTTAATTATCCCTTAAACGAACAGAAATTGTGTCCAAATCTGGACGCAATTTTCAAAAAATTGTAGACCCCCACTAGACAAAAAAAATCACTAACTAATACCAATTTTTTTTGATTTTTCGATAGAAAAGGTTATGAAATTTATGTATAAACATTCGTTTTTAATAAAAAAAAATTTTTTGTAGAAGTTTTATTGATACTAAAATAAACACATTTTAAAAAAAAAAACTAATTTTTGGATTTTTTGTAAGTTGCGATTAGTAAAAAATTTCATCATTTGAAACCAGGCCTAAAACCGTAAGATATGTAATAATACATGTTCCATTTAACAACTTTATTTAGAAAAATGATGCTAATTTAGGCTACGATTTTTTTTTAAATATAAAGAAAGAACTTACGTATAGATTTTCAAGTATTGTGTAACCAAAATAAATAATAAAATAATAAAATTAAAAAAACAAGACTAGCAATCTGTCTCTGTGTGGTAATCTATATAGCAGTTTCTAGCTTGAGAACAACACAATGCAACATTACATGCTGTACAATAAATATAAGAACGATTTTGAGACTTATGAGATTTTCCTTCGTCCCTTTGGGTCTCAAATTTGCACCATTCACATGCAATTCTATTTTCTCTATATTCTGGAAGATGATTATTTTCAATCACTAACCTTTCCGTGATTAATTCTGATCTTTGCTTAATGTAGGAAGCTCTGGATGAAGATGAAGATGATTCAAGTATGGTATGTCCGCGGGTTTCTCTTTCATTGTTTTTATCTAATCCTTCTTCAATTAATTCCCATGAAAGTTTTAAACTGAATTCTTTATGAGTCATTTCATTATTATACCGTTTTTTATATATTAAATAAGAATTGATGATTACAATATCCAACAACCAGAAAAATATAGGCATCCAGGTTCTTCTGACTTTTTGTTGCGTTGAATAATAACACCTCAACTGGTCTGCAATGTCCACACTACCCATGTGGTGATTGTAATCATTGATTATTTTGGGGATTGACAATATCTTTCTTGTGCTGTTACCAAAGACTTTGTTTACTTTGGCTGCATTGGTACTTGTTAGACGTGGGCGACGTCTGTTTCTATTTATTTTATTTTCATCACCAACAATATTGTGTATTGTGGATAGCATTGTAACAGGACCATTATCTATCCACAATATTGCCAATACTTCATTATCAATAACAACACCAGAGAGTGTGTCCCAATCTAACTTTTTATTTTTTATTCTAAGAACAGAGGGGAATCTTGAAGAATTTGTACGAACGGTCCCACATGCACCAATCCCCTTTTCACGTAAAAATTTAAATAACTGGATACTTGTGAAATAATTATCCATGTAAATATTAAATGCTTTATGTGATGGTAATCTGGAAGCTAAATGTGCAACTTGACTTCCTATTCTACCAAGATTTCCAATTGATTGAACTTCACCTTCTTTTTCAGTTCTAGAAGTAAATATGAAAGAGAAAGTGTATCCTGCATCACATAAAGCTAGGATTTTATACCCTTCTGGTGTTGGTTTATTTTTTAATCTAAAGGTATGTGCACTTCTGCCACAAAATTTTATAATCATTTCATCTACAGAAACATTAGATGATGGAGTGAAAATGGATTGCGATATTGTGTTTATATGGGATGCTAATGGTTCAAGTTTAGAATACCAAAATGGATGAGCCTCCTCTATGTTTGAAATATGTAGGAAGTTTTTTATTTTTTCAAATTTTCTAATCTGCATATATGATGCAATGGGGTGTATTGGCATTTTTGTATCCTTATTCCAAAGGTCCCGAATTGATGGTGTTTTAAATAAACCTGCATAAATGATTATTCCTAGCCAAATGTGCAAGTCAAACAAGTCAATGTCTATCCATAAGTTTCCGTTTTTACTTTTACCATAGATATTGGTATTGCTTACAATTGTCCTCAAAATAGTATTTGTAAAAAATAATTTAAAAATTTGGATAGGATTGACAAGATCAAGATTGTTAAATTCGTATGGCAAATTTGTTTCAGAATCATGCAATGGTAATTGATGATTAAATTGATTAAAATATGGTGGATCTGGAAGATCAATTTGTTGTGTGTCTCTACCACCTCTAGTTCCTTCTCTTCTTCCACGGTTGCTTCTGATTTCTCTACTGCTCCTAATTTTACTAAAACTTGAAGTTTCACCTTCATCATCCTCGCCATCTTCATTATCATTGATTGTTTCTGGATCATTAAAATCTTCAGATAATTCATTATCATAAAAACCACCCAGCCTTCTTGTAATACTAGCAATATAATATCCATTGCTGGGATCATTGGAATCTTCAAAAATATTAATATTTTGTTCAGGATTCATTTTGATTTTTATTAAAAGTAGTTTTTATTGTTAAATTAAAATTTGACTTTTATTAAAAACAATTATTTCAAGATTAAAAATAAATTGTTAAAAATTGTTTTATTTTTTATTCAAATATTGAGTTTGATTTTCAAATAAATAATTTGAGTTGGATTTTATTTGTCTGAAGGTCCCGGTATTTATAAAAAATTTAGATCAAAGTTATTTACAATTTTCAGGAATTTAATTCCTTCAAGTAATACTCATAATTAATAACTAATATGGGATCACCCATAGGAGAGAATGCTTTTTCATTACCATTTCCATATTTAAGACAGTAATAGTATAAATGTCTTTTCCGTATGTATTTACTAATATTAATATTAATATTGAAATCGAAAATACATTTATTTCTATTAATATATTCCATATTTTATTATGTCTATTTTCCAAAACACAAAAATATCGATATAATGAGTCCCACAAGCAGTTAATTAACAATGATGGTTTTAGAAACATTCTTTAATTAGTATTGCATATAGGATTTCAAACTCCATCGGAATTTCATTTTATTATAAAATGATCAGCAAAGAAAACTTTTTTGTTTTTACACATGTTATTTCTTTATTTGTAATATGTAACCCCAAAATACATTTTTTTAATAGAAGTAGAGGGTTTTGAATATCATTTATGAAATAAGAAAGGTTGTGGTGAGACTGCAGGAAAATATCTTTTTTTATAATTTTTGAGTCACAATTGTAAATTGCGTCCAGATTTGGATGCAATTTCGTTTAAGGGATAACTAAATTTTTCCCAATTTATTTTTTTTGTTTATATAACTCAGAACTTACCTCTCACATGGTTTGGCTCTATATGAGCAACTGAAGTGCCTGCAACATTTTCAATAGCTGAGGTAATATCTTTTCCTTCTTGAATTTCTCCACCAATTTGAACATGTCGTTTAATTGAAAGTGATATCTAATTAATCATTATTAGCAATCTTTTTTAAAAATTATTTTTATATTGCTTTAAATTTCAAACCTGAGCATGATGAGAATCCACAAATGTTTTGGCTTCACCTGCTTCCAAGAATATCCATTTTTTTACTTGAATTCTATACCATTCATTCCATTTACTCATAATAATCATAAGCTCTGAATTATGATAATGGGGGCCATTATCAGAAATAATACTAACCCATTTTGGTTTTATTTCTAAATTCTCCACTACAGAATGTAATGAAGATGCTGTAAACCAGGCATCTTGACAAGCATCTGTAGACCAATGATCTATAGCTTGGATATTTATATCAGTATCCTCCATTGATTTAATATACAACAAAACTGTATGTAATGTCCAGCCTTTCTTCCAAAAAAACTCCTGCTTGGTCTCATGTGAAGTTTTGGGCAATATTTTCATTTTATAATCCACCACTATTATTGCACCATTTTCATCTAGATCCAAAAGAGCAGCATTAAATTGTGCATTCAAGTAGACTTTTCTGGTCTGATGTGAAATGTAGTAGAGCAAACAATTTTGATATTCATGAGAGGTATTTAGGTTTGCTTTTAGATCTTTAAAAAATGCATATAATTCTTGACATTTCTCACAGGCATAAGTATGTGAAGCATTACATTCACCAAATGCATATGGTAGACAATGGTTTATGCATATGTCAATTCCACGATCAGTTACCACTAAATGTTGCTCATATTCCTTTTTCAAGAATCTTTGTAATAATTGACAGCGCTGGGAAAAGGTATTCTAAATTAATTTATTATTTAATGAATTATTAGTATTAATCACAATCATGTAATTTATTCATGGTTTATTAAATTATACCTGCAATCCCACATTATTTATTTTTTCTTTAATTAGATTCATAATATCTTCAAATGTTTCATACCCATATGTGCTACATGTAGAACACAACCCTCCAAGATCTTCTCTATAAACATACTGATTACCCATGAGTTTAGTGTAAAAAGTTGATCTTTTGATGCCATTCGGATAAGTATGGTTGAATTTTTCATAATGCACTTTTTGTATTTTTTAGGTATAGTACTGGTTGGTTTGTTTTAGTGTCAGTTTTATACGAACTCATTATGACATGTGCTTTATCTTGAAAAAAGGTATCAAATTGTTTTCCTTGTTCATCTGTAATTTTTTTTCTTTTTATAATGGGCTTTTCTATTGCTGCACAACCAGGGCCATTAATTTGTGCATATTTTTTAGCTTCAAGAATTGTGACACCTATAATGAATTATAAAAGAATAATTATATCAAGGTAATTTAAATGGTACTGATTTTTTATATTTTAATTCTTACTTTCAATTTATCCATTATAACTCTATAGGGAAATTTTTCTGCTATAATGGAAAGGATTCTTTTTTTTCCATTATAACCTTTTCCATTTGCTTTTATAGATTGATTGAAACAATTCCATAAAATTTCACCATCATTGCAATGTTCTTTAGGAAATGGATTCAAAAACCCTGAATCAAATAGAAATTGTAAATTTTCACAATCATATGTTGGATTGGTGGATCTTGTCCAAAATTCATACTATCAATAAAAAATCAAAGTTAAGTAATATTTTAAACCAATTAATTACTAGTAGAATTTATTTTAAACCATAAAATGGCTTACTGCTGATATATCATTACTGTATGGTGTTATATTTGTACATCCAGAATGAGATAACATAGCTCTCCATGCTCGCATTTCTCTTTCTTTAAATTCATGGTTTGGTGGATAGATTTTTTTTAAAGCAGTGGTGATTTCAATGATTGTTTTTTTGTCATTGTACCATTCAATAAAAAATTCATTCCATGGTACTGAAGCTAATGTACATTTTCGTAAGTGATAATTCCATAAATGTTCCATTTTGCTAGCAATATTCCATTCTTCAGGCAAGCATTTAGGTACTACACATATTGTTTGAATGAATGATTGAACTTGAGATTGATTGATGCCAAATAAGTCAATACCTTTGTGGTTTTTTAAATATCCAACCTTTTCCCACACATCATTTGGGTTACTACCAACATGTGTAGACATCAATTTATGATCTTGATAAATTTTTACAATGGAGTTTTTATAATTTATCTCTTGTACAAATAATGTCTTCTTTTTCTCAAACCCTATTACACAAACAAAAGAAGACTTAAATCCTGGACCTACATTACACATTCCATCATCTGAGGACACACCAATTCCATAAATAAATATTGTGAATTTATTGTACATGCAATTAAATGGACAAAATATTACATCTGTTAACAATTGATTATTAATTTCTGGTTTATCATGTCCTATGATAAGAGGTCCTGAGAATTTTGTTTCAGAAGAAGGAAACAACTGCTTATAAAGTGTAGTTACAGCAGCTGAAACATTATCAAAAATATCACTTGTTAAATTATTTGCTTCGCATATATAGCCAGGTTTATGTAAACAATCTTTATGGCCTTCAATAATTGTGATAAAAAAATATGTTTTATTAAGTATAACTAATGTTTTCATATTTATTCTAATAGGATATAAAATAGAATCATTATCAGTTTGTCTGGTCTCCCACCAATATTGAGAAAAATCACCAAAATGTAAATTTTCTTTCAAATGGCCAAGAGTTATCAAAGAAACTGGGTAACTTTTCCTTTTACTCATTATTATTTTGTGTTTTTATTAAAAAAATGAAAAAGCTTATGCTTAAAAAATATAATTTTTCTTTTTAAAATAAAAAAAAATTTATCGCGGTCGCGTAATTTTCTTGACTCACGTTGGTCACGTGAGGTAATGTCAGATTCTCAAAACTCCTGAAAATTATAATGTTTATTATCGCCACAAAAACATATTAATGATCGGCAAATTTTTGCAGTTGTTTCATAGATTACGAATTAAGACTATTCAAAGTCATACATACCTCTTTTATCATCAACTCTCTCTCTATTTCAACACTATCCCAAAAACCCTTTTCTTCAGGTGGACGCTTCTAATAAACTCGAGAACAGAAAGCAGTTAGCAAATATCAATCAAGAAAGTAGTATGTTTAATATGTTTCGCTTGATCTTTCTGGAGGAACAGCACCCACATCTATCTCACCGAGGAATGGCACCCCATACCTCGAGAAGGACAGCACCCTCTCTAAGCCATGCAACTAGTGATGGGCGTAAAAATTATTTTGAAAAAGACCAAGTTATTAAGTGCTTAATAACTCTATTATTAAGTGTTAAAAACACAAACATGCAGATCTCTTATTGGTAACTGTTTAATCAAATATTAATTTGATAAACAAGTTAATAATTAATTTAGTACTGTGCATAAAATTCAGTGTGCAGAGTGTGCATGCTAAGCAAATTTGATAAATTTTTTCCAAATCTGCTGAATTCTATACACTGGGATTGATTGACAAAATGGATCTTTTGGATTAATAACTCTCACTCAGAGTGCAACAGTTAATAAGTGGTTATTAACCATTAATAACTTGGAGTTATTAAGTGTAGGGTTAAAAATTCCCATCACTACATGCAACAGCAGAGAAGATCATGAGATACAGTGCTGGGGAATGGCACCCCATACCACAAAGAGGACGGCACCCCTCATAGGTTGCATAGAACTTGCCAATAATGGTTTAGAGATAAAGCGTAATAAACAGAAATATGACAAACCTGTCGAATCAGAAGAGTTACATGCTTTTTGATGTTCCCATCGTGTTCTTTCTCAGCAAGAAAGTTACTTAGAAAGTTTATATATTGCTTCTTCCAAATGGATCTTAGATTGTCCATTGAACGTTCTTTCGAGATGCAATAAGATTTTAATGTCTTCAAAAACCCAAATATGACCATAATAAAACAGGTGTACTCTCAAAATATGACTTAATTGACAAATCTAGTTCGGTGGACATTGAGCTAAAAGCAAAAACAAATTATGAATAAAAAGTTACACAGGACTCAGATTATATAATTCGTGGCCCAATAGAAATTCACTATTAAAATCCAGGTGATCGTCATTAATGTTAATAAAATTAAAAAAAATGTATCAAGTGACAAAAGTTGTACAATATAAAGTCTTTCTTTTGCTATGCAAAGTCACATGAAATCATGCAGTTTTGTAAATGAAAATCTGAATTTTTAAAAAATCTAAAAATTTCCTCTTTTTTATATCAAGATAAATAGTTTGCTTTTGGCAATGGTGGAAAAATATATATAAAATAATGATATTTTTTTTAATTTTTAGAGTTTATATTATTATTTCGAAAAAAATTAATATAATTGCAACTTTACAAAAACAATGTAGCTGGTTTTAATAGTAATTCTTATAACTATTTTTATGAAATAATAATAAATATGAATTTTATTATTTTAAATTAAGAAAAAACTTATTACAAATTATTCATCACTATCAGAAGTTATTATATTTATAGCATTCCTTGATGATTCAGTTTTGTGTGCTGCAGAACAATGAATAATCCAACTTTGTATAGATTCTACTTTTGGAATTGATTCTTGATCTATTTCACCTTCTTCAGCTATTTTCAATAATTCAGAATGCATACTTTGAGCATTATAATGATCACTTTTATTAATGTTACCTGCATGAAAAAAACCTTGTAAAATGGTATCTTTTTTTTTTAGAAAATTTTGTTCCACCTCCTTTGCTTCCAAATTTTTGATTTTCCTTTAATGCCCATCCTTCTTTTAGAAATTCATCAAAAACACTATTTAAAATTATATTAATAAATATTTGCAATTTAGTTTTAAACAACAATAACCTATGGATTTTGATGACTTACAATATTTCACTCAGTTGAGTAATTATATTACTGTTCTTCTTGTTGAATTAGAATTAATTTTTAATTTTTTGATATAACTTGGATACTGCATCAGTTGGGCTTTTTTTCAGCTTCACTTGATAATTCTTCACATTGAAAACAGTATCCTGGGCAAAATTCATTGTCTTTGTAGCACATAATATATACTTTTTATCATTTAAAAAAAATTATTTCATAAAAATGAATATTACTTTTATTTGCTTTTTTTGACATTTATCACCACCAGTCTTTTGCGTGAATTCCATAATGTAAAACAAATTTGATGATACCACTAGATAATAATTGGACTGAGAAGGTCATTGTTAAAAATAAGTTATATATTTTATAGTGACAATCATCTAAAGACATCATCAAGTATTGCCAGTCTTTAAGTGCTGATACTTTATTAAATATGGGCTATTTTACCAAAAACTCTCTATTTTTGCAATATTCTAGACATGAAAAATAATGTAATAGAAAGTTTTTTTTGAGTTATTTAATTTAAAAAAAAGTTATAATGGTTTAAAGTTGGGTAACTTTGCTATTTTATTTAAAATTTCGGCAACTATATATCTAAACTGCAATTTACAGATTATTTTCACAATTTTACCAATTATTCACGTGACAAAGTCACAGTTCTTTTACAGATTTGGATTTATTGGATTCTTTATAAAGCAAGATCACCATAAAAATTTTTGGTAAGTGATGCAGCACGTAATGTCTTTAGATGATTCGCACCATAGTGGTTATATAGCCTTTTTATCCAATGAATCAAAATAAGGTTTGCTACTGCATAGTAGTTAAATAAATAAGAAAATAATTCTCTAATTTTGGAGTTGGTCAAATTGTCAATAAATATCAATAAAATAAGTCTGAGAGAACTTTTCATATTACTCAATATGAACAATTATTTTCTCATAAAATTCATATGTGGAAAAACACTTATTTTCACCCCTTCCATTTGCAACAATTAAAAATATGTCTTGTTCAAATTTAAAGAGAGCTTGGAATGCAAGTTCTTTCTTGAGATTTCTTAAAGAGCAACCACATTTACAACCTCTTTCTAAAAATCAATTGCTTTTTGATATTTATTATCTTCATATAAAAATAGTTAATTAACCTTTTATTTTGCACATATAGAAAAATAATTAATCAAGTCTCTACTTTTTTTTTGTTTCTAATTGGTTATTGAATTCTACATCATAGAAAACATACATCAAAATGCCATTAAAAAATTATTTTGCTATATACATAATATAAACTTGTGCAACTAAAATAATGTTTAATGAAAAATATTTTTATTATTTAATTTCCCTTTTCTTCAATATTTCTCATCATAAACAAGGGGTTGCATATGATGGATAATCTTTCTTCTATCTTCTTCATTTTCAATCAATTTCATCAAATTACAAATGCCATTCATAAATTATTCAATAATCTTTGAAGTTCAAATTTTTCATCATCTCAAATACAGACAATTATATAACTTTCTGGTCAACCCAAAAAGTGCAATAGGAGGTATTGATTCTTATTTTTAGTTGATAGAATTTCATGATTAGATTGATCAATACCGATTTGCATATATAGCATTTAAAATCCTCCATTTCCATATACTCAGCCCTATAAAAAATTTGGCATGGAAATGTATGGGAAAATGCATGGAATTTGTATGGAAAAATGCGAATTTCAGGTAAAATTCCATACAGTTTTCTGTACATTTTCCCATACATTTCCGTGCCAATTTTTTATAGGGCAGGTCTGGGCTTATGTGTTGTTTCAATTTTATATGCAGTGAACTCTCCATAAGTGCACCCTCTATAAGTGCACACCCTCCACAAATGCATGCTATATCTCATTCCCAACCTCGGGACTTAAGAGATAAATGCATCCCTCCATGAATACACTGCATGGTCTTCCTCCATCCCCTTTTATATAAAGCCCAACCTATCTAATGAAGAATAAAGGATTAAGTAAGCTATTCTTACTTATAAAGAATTAAATAAATGTTTACTAACTCTTTCTTTTTAATTAACAAAGAGTTATATAATAATGATAAAATGCAAATGGAGAAATTTATGGTGAAATCAAAAATGATCATGAAATTTTTTTAATATTTATGTGTAGTAAGAGTAAATAAAAAATTAATTTAATTATTTTTTCTTTATGAAAGATTTCTTTTTTCATTGATAAAAAAAAGAATTATTAGAAAAGAACACAGATGGTGGATCTTTTATAGGTGGAATTATTATAGTGAACCACAATAATATCAATTTAGTCAGCAATAATAGTATGGTAGAAGATCTTTTTAATTTAAGTAATCAGATTTCTTTTATTAGAAAGATTTCAAAAAATTTTAAGCCGACCATTGGATAATCATGTATTTTTCCACAAAAATCATCCGCAATCGCCAAATCAATTTCTAAATAAAGATAACACATCCAACCCACCAATAAGATTGGATATTTTCATGATGCGCAAAATTACGGATAATTTTTGCGGAAAATACATGATTTTGACCATGGGCCTTTTAGGAAATCACAAAAGAAGAAATATCATTCCGAAATTTTACAATTTACATATAGATATAATTAACACATAAAAGCTCCTGACATAGAAGCGGTGGGTTTATTAAATATGACATAAAGATAACAAAATGGAGAATAGTAGTGCAATTTACATACCTCAACTCTTCTACTATTTTTCCCACAAATACTTTCGTTATTATGAATGCAATGACAAGTTATGCAGTCATTTGTTAATAAAATCACTACATAAGATGAAAAGTTATGTTTCAATTTTTATGTAAGGAAAAATGTATCATTTAAAGTAAGAGAAACTATACAAAATCATTCAAAATTTCAGAATTACAAATCACAAAGAAATTAGATTAGGCAGGATTTTATATTGTTATTCATAAGATTTGAACCATCAATGTAAATATAAGTTTCCAAGTCTTTCTATCTTCTATTGCTTTTGAGATCAACAATATCATACTTTGGAATCAATGGATACATTTGTGAAAAATGTAAATAAGAAGCAAGGCAATTAAACAAACCAAAGAAAATTTTACCATCATATAAAAATGACCTAAGAAACGAAGCAAGCAATGCTAAATGAGAAAAAAAAAAGATGCCATTTTTGGAACAAAAATCAATTGAAATCATTGCCACATTAGTAGGATACTTTGTGAAGTCGGTTACTAAAATATGAACCCTAAAAATTTTTGACATCAAATGATCATTTTGTTGCAGCATGCTCCATATAGAACTTATGTGCGTAATTATATAGTGGGCCACATAACAATTGCATAAAATTGCATCTAAAAAAATTTCACTGATAGAATTATTTGCCTATCATAATTTTCAAGCCTTTATCATCTTGATACTATTCACTACTTCATATGTTATATAAATTTATAAGTACTTACCTCAAAAATTATCCATCTCAATTGCTAATTCCTGTTTTTCTTGTTTCAAATTCTTTGATTCTTCTTTTCATTCTTAATCATTATTTCCGTTTGACATTACCCATTATTGATATATTCTAATTAAAACCAAGAATTGTTGCTGTTCCTTTTATATGGCGCAGATCATCTATAATTAATTAATTGTTTATAGTATCAATTGGTCAGCTTCATGACTCAAGCTTCAAAACTTATCAGTTAACTTTTTCTTAAACTAAAAGTTGGCAGAACTTAGCATTTTGAAAATTCCAAATTTGTTATACATTTAAGAAATTGAGATCAAGTATATTTCGTGTAACAAAATATTTTCGCAAATATTTTCTACAACATATTAATATTAATATTAATATTTAAAAAAGTTTTTAAGGAACATATTACATCAATTACTAAATTTGGTCATGCAATTCAAAATATTGTAACACGAAAATTATAACTCTCAAATTTAAAAACCATGAAAAAAAATTGAGACATTTTTTTTTAAAATGGTGATTTTTTTAAAATCCAACATGCAAATCACATAATATTTCAAATATTTTAACTTTTGAGTATAAATGATCCGCACTGTATTCCTTTTCCATCATATTTATTTTTTCTAGAATTCTTGATTTTTGTATTTTCAAAAGTTTCAGCATCAATAGTCATTAGTGATGATATTTTACATTTATTAACAGGTGATCCTGGCTTTTCTTCTACTTAAGAAGATTAAGAAGCGTTGATAGAGGAGGTGGTATTAGTGTTTTTTTTTTAAATTTATTAGAAATAGAGTTAGAACTTGGATTCTTAACTTTTGTTTTAGTGGAGCAGATCTGGTAGTATTAATGATTTTAGTAACAGTAGAAGGAATTGATTTATAGTTAATATTAGTAAGTTTGTTGATAAATGTTGGGTTAGAAATAATAGCCTCTGATGAATTAATATATTAAGTAGTAGCAGCAGCAGCACCAGCAGCAGCAGAATTGGTGATGATAGGTTTATTTCTGATAATGATAGTGATTTACAGACTTCTTCTAGTGCTAACCTAATTAGTTTAGAGCTATTATTAACGATAGTTTGATGGTTGCTGCATTATTATTGTTATTAGAAATAGTGTTAGTTGCGTTAGGTCTAAAATTTTCAATAATACTAATAGGTCCAATAGTTACATTATTTATTCTAATAGAGTGACACTAGAAACGTTTGCTAGTCCCGTTGTAGTATTAAAAGAAATAGTATTACTAATTCTAGTAGCATTGGTAGTAATTCTAGGTCTAACGTTGGTGATGGTGGTGGTGCTAGATCTAACAACGGTTAGTTTTTTGAATTGATTCTAATTGTCGTTTAGAATTGGTAGAGGTGAAGCCGCCAATCTCATGGTACTGTTATTATTATTAAAACTTTTGTTACGGTTGTTAATGTTGTAAATTCTTTTTTCATTGATCGTTTGTGATTTTTTAATTTTACTACAACACGTATTTGTGTTATTTACGAGTTCATGGATGGATATTGTTTTGCGCGTATTACAATAATAATAATCAATATTAATACTAATATTAATTTTTATATATGTATTCGAAACATAATCGTGTAGTTATCCACAAAAAATATCCGCAAATTTCGTGAAACCTCAGAATACCCAATTTTTATTGGTGGGTTGGGTGCATGTTATCCTTATTTAGAAATCGATTTGGCGATTGCGGATATTTTTTGTGGATAATAATAATAATAATAATAACTATACATGATAATATTAGAAAAAAAGTATCAATTAATAATTAATGGAGTAATTGAACGCAAAACGTATTAGCTTTAGAAGGAAAATCATATGAAAATAAACATTATCGTGTAACAGAATCTCACACAAAATGGAATCATTTATTTTTTTACATAAATTTCGATCATTAAGGTATGATTTTCTTTACTTCTATCATTGTTGTGCGTGAAAATGAAAGTTTATGCGAATTTACAATTCACCTATGTGAAATTCAAATTAGCCAATCAAAATTTCATATCCAAACACCCCACCCCAAAACTTTAATTTATAGATTACGATTTCACATACAACATCATTATCATGTATTTTTGGTTTAAAAAAAAAAAATAAAAACAAATCTACATCTAAATTCCTTATATAACAAATGGCAATTAACAAATAACTATTATAATGATTGATTACCAATAAATTTTCTTTTTTTGTTCGAGATAAAGAATTGGTGATACAACGTATAATTCATACATTTCACTGTAGCACAAATGCCAAAATTTTAGGAAAAAACCCCCACCCACATACTAGTATTAAATATTAATATATATATAATAATATATATTCATTTCTCTTTTAATTTCTCCTTTTTTTTTAACAACTTTAACAGTAAAAATTATTATCAAACCTCTTATGCAAAAAATTTTTGCTAATCTGTGGGCGAAATAAATATATATATAACCTATAAATCCTATGAAGACCCAACAAGTAAACTCACCAACGATGAACAATGATCGCGTTTCCACAGTAGTAAAAAACCGTAGACCAAAGGTAAAAAACGGTCTTAGCATTGAGAGTGACTCGCAAATACTACAGCAACAACAACCAAAACAACAGTCGCCAAAACTGCAGCAGCAACAGCAGCAGCAACAAATTAATAAGTTACAACAACAGCAAAGCCATCATCTACAATCACAAAAATCACAAAAAAAACCTTCGCCTCTTTTACGTAGTAATACAATGCCTGGAAAGATTAATAATAATAACAATTTTAATAGCATTAATAATTATAATGTAAAGGCTAATAATCGTCATAGTACTATTGGATTAACAGATAGAGAGAAATCCAAGTCTGATGATGGATTTCATCATTCTGATTCTGATAAAGATAGTAATCATTCTTCCCATTCTAATATGAGCTCAAGTAGCACTACTAATATTAGTAGCCATCCTCTTAGTAGAAATTCTTCCGTTAAGTCAGACACAGTTGCACGAGTACGACCAAAATCTTCTTTGGGAATGTTAACAGAGAAAACAAAATCGGATAGTCTTAATTTGGCTACTGTAGCTGCTAATAAACAATTAAAAGCTGATAGACAGGCGGAAGAAGCGAGAAAGAATAGAAAGGTATATATGATTAGCGTAACAAGAGAACATATTTGTGAAATAATATGTATTAGATCTTTCAATTTATTTTTTATAATTTTTTATCAAAATGTTGCTTGTTGCTTAATCAATAACTTCTTTGATATATATTATAGATTGCAGATTTGGAAATCTCAATAAAATCATTGATGAAAATCAATTCAGAGTTAGATGCAACGAATAAAAAGCAGGCCATAGAAATTCAAGATTTAGCAAGACGGCTTCAAATGTACGTATTGTTTTTTTTCTCAAATAATTTATGCACATTCAGCAAATGAATGAATGAATAACACGGTTTCTTTAATCAATTAATTGGTGATAGTAATGATTCTTTTTTATGTTATGAAGATGAAAATGGAAGTGTTGATGAAAATCAAGTAACAACACCTATTTCAGAAGTAAATTTGTTTTTATTATAATTGAGAAAAAAATAACTTTTGTTTACAAAAAATTTTTTTGTTTTGTTTTTCATTATTTAATCAAATAAAACTTAAATTATACACATATACATAGGTCAATTCAGAAGAAAATAGGAAAGAGAGCGATATTAGATTTCGTAAAATATGCCTAGTAATAGATACATTGATTCGTGATGGGAAGAATGCATTAGAGTACAAGTCAAAAATTGGTGGTAGTAGAGTATTAACCAATGTACAATTGGGTTAGTTTTACTTTTTTTTTTTTATTGTTCTTGAATAATCATAGCAACAATAATTAATATTAATAAATCTTAATCTCGTTCTTAGACTTGGAAAAATTAGATGAAGCGCAAAATCAAAATCATAATGATGATAAGCGTCATGACGACGACAATGACGATGATGATAAATTTAAAGATAAACAATTAACACAATCATCAGAATATGCAGTAAATTTAAATAATATTGATTTTAAAACAAAAGAACGTGATAATAATAGCAGTAATAACGATGATAATAATGATTCAATAAAAGAAAATTCAAAAATAAAAATAGATAACAAATCACAGGATGGTAATTCGTCTCTAATTACGAATTTGGGAGTCTGTGTAGTAGACAATTCGAACAGTAACAAAATAGAATTGAACAATAAAAATAAAAATAAAAATAATAATAATCTTAATCTTAATCTTAATCTTAATCTTAATGATAAAGAGCGTCGTATTCGTATACATAGTATAATTAATCAACTTTTATCACTTGCTAGATGGGGAGAAGAAAATAATAATAACAACAATAATAACAATAATTTCTTTTCTGCCTCCCCTTCTTCTATACCTACAACACCAAAGACACCGGAACCAAAAGGTCTTGGTTTATTACTTTCTGATCCTACACCACATATTCCACATATTCCAAATTTTACATATACCAGTAGTAATGGTAATAACAATAACAATAATGATATACCATCTTCATATACAACAATATTTTTATTACATGAATTGCAAGAACTTTTGGGATTCAATGATAATATTAATATCAACAACAACAACAACAACAACAACAACAACAACAACAACAAAAAATCTTCTCATCATCCTCCAAATTATACACATATTTATCGTAAGAGTATGCCTATAATTACAACTAATAATAATAATATTATTAATATTCTCTTGGAATCAACACATAATAATGATAAAGACGATGCAAAAATATCACGTCGCAGATCATCACCTAATTTCAGATCATCTTCGTCATCATCATTTATTATTTCTGATAGAATGTTGAATGCCACTAACCCTTCAATATCTACTATTACTACAACTTCTGATGTTTTGAAGCCTCCCTCAATATGGTCTTCATCATTGGGATTCTTAGCACCTTGGAAACATGATTAAATTTTTGGGAGATAAATAATTACTTATTTTATAAAAAAGAACAATAGTTGAATAAATTAAATTGCTTATCTTTTTTTTTTGTGATTGAATTTAAATTCTTTAAAGCTTTATTATTTTTTGATTTTAATTTATTTTATAATTATTTAAAATGTTTTTGCCAATTAAAAGAAATTAATATAGAAATTGTAAATAATTCATATATTTATATAATAAAATGATAATAGATTGTTTTTTCATTGGTCAAATAATAGTACTTGTTGAACCACCATCAATTCATTGCCCTAAGTTGAACCATCAAAAATATGTCTGGTTCTGATATAAAGAGAGCTTGAAAGGCTTCCCATAATTATGCAAATCCTTCTTTGAGAATTCTTGAAGGACAACCACAGTCACAACCTTTTTCTAAAAAATTAATTGCCTTTCATATTCATTAGGACCATTATAATAAATATTATTATCCATATACCTATAATCTTAAATTATAAATTTATGTTCATTTTGTAGGTTTTTTCAATTATTTTAAAATTGAAGAGGATTTCAAGATTGGTCCTGTAGTGACAATTAAATTTGGGCAAATCTGTAAATAAATATCAAGAATACATTCAATAATTGATCAAAATATGATCATTGAGTAACTTATAAAAAAAAACCTCCCAAGAGATTTGGACAACTGGCTCCATGAAAAATAACAATAACTATGAGTCTAGATTTAAATTGACCCACCATCAATCATCAAAATAAGAAAAACATACTATTAACTCTATTTCATTAAATCATAACAATCAAAAAATAAGTAAATAAAGTATTTAAAAAAGCAAACAAACAATAAATTTTTGCAATAATTTGAAAAAGACTTGATCTTTTCATTCAGTAAAAATGTAATCGAATTATTTGAAGAAGCAGACAGAATTTCAGCCTTCACCTCTATCAACATTCATGCTGCTTTTTTGTTTAATATTACACTTAATGTTAATAATGGTTACAAAAAGCAAATACATCAATTGTTCATTATAAAAGGCATCCACGGACAAAGATACAATAGTATCAGAGCATTCACCATCAAATGGTAAGTTGCTGCAGATGAGAGAATTGATATCATCAGCTGTTCATCAAAGCCCAAAAACATGTGTTGTACTTAAAATGGCATTTATATTTGGGAATTGGAAATGTTTTCATTTATCATCAACTTTGATTTCTCACTAAGGATTCCAAATCTTAACTCTTCTAACAAATTGTAGAAACTCAAGTCATCTTTCTGTCATTTTGGTTGATGCAGGAAAACAGGGAAGAATGAATTCCAAGCTGGTGAGAAAAAAACTTGCTGAGCATTGACTGGAGGAAGCTGGGTGAGATCACCAACCACCAGGACTGGGACACCTCCAAATACCTTGTGGTTCTTGTGCAAAGAACCAAACATGTTGCTCAAGGATGTGAAAAGTGTACCTGACACCACAGAGATTTCCTCAACTATGATGGCTTTAATTTCTAAAAGTTCCTCACTCTCTAATGACAATGTTTGGTGATGTCCATCAAATTGTCTCAATTTTAGGGCTGAATGGATTGTCCTACCTCCTATATTCTGAGCTGCAACACCAGTAGGAGCTACTAACAAATATTTGATTCTTTTCAACTGAAGCATATTTACAACATGGTGTGTCATAAAGAAGTAGGGATGCTTGTTATCATGTTCAGGAACCCATGAATTACATAAGATGTCATAGACTCTGTATTGTTCATTGTCAAACATTAAGATTGATGTCAACTTTGATGATGATGGCTTCTCCAATGTCATGAACTGCTGGTAAATAATATCCCAAAGATCATTTTTATCTAAATCTGCTAAAACTGAAATGATTGCCCTTCCAAATGCTTCAGAAAATTGATTCTTACTTATCAGTGAACTGTGAGCCAGTCTGGTCAAAACTTGCTGGTATCTCATTGGATACATGTTCTGGAACCTCTCCCTGAAACTTGAAAACTCCCCAAGTAGCTAGCTCACTTTGAGAATGTGCTGGAATTTTCATTATGAGGTATTGGAAAAAAAAAGGTTCACCATCATCGATTTTGTAACTTGTGAACCTGAGCAGCATAGGCTTTGTTCACTTGACAACAAACCTGCCTTTAAGGTCTCTTGTTGAGTATAACTTTGATCTTGGGCCTGGGGGTTTGTTTTTAATGTTATAATCTCTAAAATAATCTGGGTAGGTCATGCTTTCAAAAATGTGATTTTTTGGCCTGCAAAAATACTTATCAATCACATCATCAAAGTAAGGACTATCTCCATCATTCTCATTATCCTCATCCTCATTCTCAACATTATCTTGTTCAATTTGCACATATACAGGTTTAACTGATCAAATCCTCAACTCAGAAGGTGCAGATGGAAGTATTGAACCACCAATGAACACCTTGTTATTGAATACTGCAACAGCAATATCATCAGTTCCATTGATCCCAATCTCCTAGCTTGTACATGTTTTATGTACAAATCTTGCTTTCTGATGTTGAAGTTCAGGTTTTGTGGCATACTTGGTCACATATTTCCCAAAGCCAAATGTTATTATGTATTGAAAGTTAATGTGTCCCTACCATATCAACAACGTTTCAGGGTGGTAAGGAACAACCCAATGATCTTCATCTTTGGTTCTTTGATAAATGTATCTTTTGGAATTTTGTTCAGAATATGTGAAATTGGAGAGGGGCCGAGGGAATCCTTTTTTGCATGGATTTGCATTTGTTCCTGGATCACCACACTTTTCTCCAACACACCTGTGTATCTGGTACATGGTCATCAGCTGGAAAAGCCCAGGCTCAAGGAAGGGATCAGTTATGTCTGCACATATAGTATTTTTTGCTATCAGGTCTGGTGTTTTTTTTTCTGTGTAAGCAAATCCATGAGTGTGAATGGATCCTCTATTTTGAAACTTGTCTCTCAAAAAGTACAACCACTCACCCCACTGTACAAGATTCAGATTTTCCAAAGCTTATTATGCACATTTGTCAACCTGTTGTGATAATGTAAGTATGCATGCAATGGCCTGTTGGATGGCAGCAGATCATGATTATCAGTGAGCAGCAATATTTCTTGAAGATGTTTCCACTTGCTTTCAGGCATTGTCATTGTGTAGAAAATCTGTGGCAGCCCATACCCTTGAACCATTGTGTTAACATGATGTTGATTTTTCCTGAAAAAGGCTTCAGAAGTTTGAATGGATGATGGCAAGGTTGTTGTCAAAGCCTCATTTATCATTGGTTGATTATCATATGTGCTTCTTGATATCAAGTCAGCTCTGGTTGGGTGTAACTCATGATTAACATTCTTCTGGTTCAGAATCCTATTCTTGTTACATTTTTTTTCAAGGTTGAGGTATGACCAGTGAGGCCAATACCAATGTAACCTAAACCTTGGATTAGAGCACAAGGTTCGTAGCTTAATGTACTTGCCATAGCTATCAGTGTTGTGCCTAAATTTCAATAACCTTTTTACATCTTCATAGTGACCACAACTACCAGGAAAAATGTCAGGAAACACCAATGCTTCAATGTCAGGATTGTTATACTGTATTGGAAGTGTAACATCATCATTCGAAGTCATGAACCACTAATACCTGTAGTCTTCTTCATGCACCTCAATGGGAAAGTCATTATTTGGGACAACTAAGGAAGGTGGTTGAGAGTTTGTCAAAATTGATGAGTGATGGTTCAATGATGAAGTATCACAAATAGACTGGGTGGGTAGCCTTGCCATTGGTAGAGGTTCTGGAAAAGGGCTAGAGGGTGAAAGATGTATTACAGCATGAGTTTGATTGTACTGTATGTATATTGGATTATTTTGCACCAGCCATTGACTTGCACCAATTAATGATTCATGAAACTAATTAGGTGGTTCATTTTGATTTAATATTGCACCAATCAAACCTGAGTGTAGTTTCAAAGCATGTCTGTTTTTTGACAACCCAATGAAGCCTTGTAGGTGACAATAGTGTGTGTAAGCATTAGAACCTGAAGTGCAACCTAATGAGCAGCTCATATGAATGGGTGACAAATGTTTCCTGAACAACATGGGTACTGAATTGATCTCATCAGGTACTGGTGTCAAAGCTGATGGGAACCTATGATTCTTCTCAGTTTTGCAAGATGAGCAGACAGCAATCTTGACTTCACCATTATTATTTGTTTGAGTGATAATTTTTCATTGGGAAATGCCATTTTTAAAGTATATTCTTCATCAGCATTATAGTTGATCCACTTGATTGATGTGCTCATCATCAGGATAGAACAATATGCACAAGGGGTTGAAGAATAATCATATAAATTTTTTTAATCAAACTCTTCCAGATTGAATGCCATGGTTGGAATGTTGTTGAGTCATGATAATAATAATAAGGTGAAGGAATGTTAGGCTAATATTTGGTGGTGCATTTTGCAAATTTTGATTTATTTCATTGCATTTCACATATGTTGAAAGGAAGGAAACGTCAATAACACACCTAGTGTGAACTTTCAAGTTAGAAGAAGAGGAGATAAAGTCAGAGATTGTATAATTTTTGATTCTATAATTCATGATTTAATTAATTCAAATTAGAGTTAAATGTATAATAATATTAATATGATAATTATTTTTATTTCAAATTTTATTTATCACAAGGTTTTAAGGTTATTCAGAAAAAATGTATTTGTTAGATCAATCCAAATTAGAGTCAAACGTATAATAATATTAATATGATAATTATTTTTATAAATTTTATTTATCACAAGGTTTTAAGGTTATTCAGAAAAAATGTATTTGTTAGATCAATCCAAAATACATTCATTTATATAACTTTTTTTTTTCTTTGAATAACCAACCAACCAACCAACCAATCAATCAATCAATCAATCAATTCAAGTACTGTTTAATTTAAAAAAGGCAAGCATGGCAGTGTAAAATTTTTTTAAAATTATTAAAGCAAAGAAAATTGAAATCTTCTCGCGTAACGTCAATAGATTTACATGTAACGGGAAAATACTTTCGTTTCGCGAAACAATAGAGGTTTCATTTTATAATGTTTAAATATTTGCCAATTACAATATCTGCAAAAATTTATTATTACAACATGTACATAATAATAAAATCAAATAAATTAAGACTCCTCATAAATAAAACCCTCTTCACTTTCAACCCCTCCTTCCCCTTCATCCAAATTCGCGTCCACAATCAAATCAGCACATTCTTTCCCTTTACTGCTTGTGGCGACTGCATTCATTGCATTTTGAAACATTGTAGTTCTTCTTGTTGATGGGTCTGAAGGACTTTCTTCATTGAGATCGAGATCTGCTTGGCTTACAGGTCTTTTGTTGGGCGATTCTTGGTGGTGATTTGCAGATCTTTTTTTATTACTAAAATACTTTTCTTCAAAGTCCAGGTACTTTGACTTTTGTGCCTTCCAGGAAGAAGGCCCACTTTTGTTTCCTTTATTGTTAGTGTTTTCTGAAACGGGGAAAAGCCATTCAATCTCTTTGCCAACAATCTGCACCATTCTTTTACCAACAAAAAGTTCTCCTGCTACAGTGAAGATAGCTTTTCCATTAGTGGCAGTTGTGACAGAGCTGTGGCGTCCATTGTTTGGGTTATAAAAACATGGGACATCCATTGTAGTGTATGAGTTTGCAAATGGATTGTATATTTTTCGCGACAAAGTGAAAAAGCTTGCACCGTCTTGAACTCTAGATGGTGCTGTGCATTGAGCAGTGAAGGTGCCGAATAAAGGATTGATGGGTAAATCATAGATGCTTGGATCATCAGCAATCGTTTTCAGATCAAGAAGAACAGCTTGGATCAGGGTAACCTGAATCAAAAACAACACACATTATTATTCATTGCTGAATAAAACCAAATGAACAATTTATTGCATATTAATATAACAAAAACTCACATATAGCTGCGAATCATGAATCACATATTTTCCAACAAACATCATAAAAGAATTTTTCTGTATATCTTGGATCATGATGTCTTCGTTGGAATTAAAGGCCCTGAACGTAAAGTCCAAAAAATCATTATTGTCAAGTCTTGAAGTTGCCACACCATTCAAAACGTTAGATCCACTCACAGACTTTACAAATGTGATTGTAGATAAGATGGAAGACATAATTATTTTTTATTTTTTATTTTTTTATTTTTTTAGATGTGATTTAAATTGTTTTGTGAGTATTGAATATTTTCTTTGCATCCAGTAGCTCATTCACTTAACTTTTTTATACAAATTTTTTTCATCCAAGAATAAACATTGATTTTTCTTCACTAGCCAAATCGTAAAAATCAGCACAAGAAACATATGTTAATGTAGACATGATAATAAATGTGTCTGCATGTGAAAAAAAAAGAAAAACATAAGGTGTAAAAATAAACACGTAGTGCATAGGTACGTGTCCTTAACAATTTCGAACAC